ATAACAGTGAATTGTATGTCATTAAGAAAACGTCACAAACAAAGACTAGATTTCCTTTCATAAAACTGAGAAACAGTATCCCAGATCCTGTGATAAAAGTAAAACTGGCTCTGCAGTCAGTAAACTAATAGCACATGACCATCTAGCCCGCCATCATCGCACATTTAATTCTGCCACCAGATATTAACTGATGGATGTTTTGTAGAGCATCCTTAATAGCAGCATCTTCTCACCTCCCCTCTAAAATATTTGGTGTTAGAGTGGCAGATTGTGATCCTACAGATATTGTGGCCATTATAAAAATAAATAAATACATTCAGAGTGAATTTATTACAATAATGTAAAATGTGATTTTAAAAAGTAAGATTGATTGCCCTTTACAGAAGAGCACACTCTAAAAAAGATTGTATTTTATACAAGAACCATATTGTATTTTATTCTGAAATGGTTCGTTTTACTTAGCAAGTAAGCATTATTGCAAATAAGCAATATTGAATTTACGATCCATATTATTAGTTCTGAGTTCTCTATTATTACTTGGGGTTATGCATAAACATAAACAAGCATAAAAGTGATCCCATGAGTTATCATCACTTTTGTGACCATTGTGAAGGGCTCATATACTGTCCATTTACAATGGATACCTGTGGCCTTCATAAATATAATTGCTTTTACAAATGGACTTAAAAAACTGGAAGACACACACTGTGACTCTTTACTTATTTGCGTATTTCTACCCAGACAGATGCTGTCACAGCCTCATCATGTGGAGAGAGAAACTGCCACTCGGTTACACCAAAATACACACATAATGATGGACATAAAGACATCAGTTTTGTGTTTCTATTTGTTTTATGTAATTATTAATGTCAATAAAGTGTCAAATGTTATCAATAAGTAATGTATACAGCTAATAACCGAGAGAGCACTTTCATTTTTGTAACAATTTCCCATGTCAAAAAAAAATAAAAGAACCTAATCGACACAACTTGCTGTCACCTTTAATGCAAACATAATAGAGGCTATAAGGTCAAACACTATTTAAAAGGTTCTTTATAACACCATTATAATATAAAGGAACAGTTCACCCAAAAATTAAAATTAGAAAATCAGTTGAAAATTTACTCACCCTCAGGCCATCCAATATGTAGACGAGTTTATGTCTTCATCAGAACAGATTTGGAGAAATGTAGCATATAAAAAAGGGATCTATAACATGTAATTGGTACGCTCGATTGGTACGCTCAAGATGGCGGCGCGTTCACACGCTGCGGCTTCTCTCTCTCCCGACAGAAAGGTGTTTTCTATATATATATATATATATATACTGTATATAAAATCATGCTTTTTACAAGTAATTTGTATTTTAAAAGTCAATTCTATTCCAGTCAATTCTATTCCACCTCACAGTCCAACCTTTGATATATAGCACCTGCATCATGTATGGGGACTCAGTCAGTTTTGTTACATTCTGGAACCAACGTTTTCCTTAGAGCGGACTTTTAAACAATACCCACTACAACATGTATGGTCACTGAAGCATGCTAAATATTCATTGTTGATTGGCAGACATTCAGATAATATTTTAAACCGAACAAAATAATTCACAGGAGCTCAACATGCAATGCAATGCTGTCTCCATCAGTTTTGGTTCAAATGACAATGTGATTGTGCATCCATCACTCACCAGTGCCAGAAACTGTCACCCAGCATTACAGAAAGGGTTCTGGGCTTTGTGGCTCATGTGCTGATATTTTATGACAATGTGTGAGCAAGTTGTAATTTGTTTAGTCCAGATATGAAGCCACTATACCCTCAGTGCCTGTTTAATTTAACACTTCAGTGGCGTTCACAGTTGGAACAGTATCTCAGTTCACTTTAAAAATGCATAGACAAGAAGGAAGAAGGACCAGTTAATTGAAAAACAATTTATTTCTAACACTCTAGTCTAGATTCACAATAGTAAACTTAATTATGAAGCTTTGCTTCAATTATAAACTATACAAGAAAAATACATTTTTATTATACCGTTTATAAGGTTTAAAAGTTGAATACCTTTTTGGAAATAAAGCCGGGTGGGAGAAAAAATAAAAGACCTCAAACAATCAAAAGCAAATAATGCTTCAATATTACTGCAGAGAAGTTTATTTAGATCATATGCACATTAATTTACATAAATCATCCTTGGACTGGCATATGTATTTGCTTTTTCACTGCTATTAGTTGCACTCATGTAGGTAGTTAATTCAGCTGGAACCCTATTACAGGCCTTCTTACCCCATATACTCAGACATTAATCACAATACTGCCACAGGTTGCATTCGCTTCCACAACAGCAGCGTTTACACACAAACACACACTGAGAGATAGATAGATAGATAGATAGATAGATAGATAGACAGATAGATAGATAGATACAGGTGCATCTCAATAAATTAGAAGTTCATTTATTTCAGTAATTCAACTCAAATTGTGAAACTCGTGTATTAAATAAATTCAATGAATTACTGAAATAAATGAACTTTTCCATGACATTCTAATTTATTGAGATGCACTTGTAGATCTCCCCTAACATATCACCTTAGTTTCCATAAATTCTCAAGAGCAGGACATGTAAGAAAAGCTGTTTGCACTCTGAGGGTATATGTCTTTCTGAAATGTCCAGCAACAACTCGTCGCCTAAAAAAAAAAAAAAATAATAATACATCAGTCTAAGTTTGGCTAGTCTTCCAGTCTGGTCATAGCACTTTTAGAAGGCTGGTTTCAGATTTGGCAGCAGACCAGCTGACCAACCAGCTAAAATAGTTTGTCCAAGTCCTCCTGGAAAGTTTGTAAATTCTAATTGGGAAGTTGTAATTGCGCCGTTAGGTGCGTTTAAATCAGTCGGAGCAAGATGGCATACCATTTCTATAACATTGTTATTATTTTGCAAATTGAATCGTTATATCATATGGCTATTCTAAATATGTCAATTTAAACAAATTGACCGTCAATACAGAGGATGCATCCACTGTGCACAACAGTATCAGTGATGTTGTGCTATAGATGAGGGACGTTGTGCGTTATATAGCACATCTGAACACACATTTGCGATATATGTGTTATGCATAATGACTGATTTGCTAAATGAAATAACATTGCTGATGTGGTAGCCTATAGGCCTATGTTATATAACGCACTGATCTGCTAAGCATGATTTTAATCATTTGAGTTCTACTGAATCTAATCACAGAAGGACAGTTCCGTGCGACCAATATACATGCCATCAAAAAACACTACAGTACGACAAAACAGAGGTCGGGTTTGTACATGTTTTTTTTTTTTTTTTTTATACAACAAGCGTAAAGGCAGCATCACATTGCTATAATGTATTTCCTTTGAATGCTTCCAGACAATTTGCAAGAATAATTAGATTAGAAAAACTGGTTTACGTAAAATTGAAACACTGTGCTCGATGCAGATATGAACATGAAAGGGAGAGAGGGCTCATTGCTTGGAGCTTGATGATTGATCCATTGTAATTCTGTTCGTGACCGACAGAGCTTATGGGAGCTGTCCGCCGGTGTGTGGTGCTGAAAGACATCACATATACTTAACCAAACAATTAAGGGACATTTCTGTTCTTATATTCAACCGCAAGAAATATCCTTTAATTGTAAGAATAAGAATAAGAATATAATGTTTCGTCTCTTCTGATGAAGTCTTCAGTCATGTGGATGAGTCAGTCCAGCGCTGCTCTTTATTTCTCTCTCTGAAGTTCAATTTCTCCAGTTCACTTTCCGCTCTCCATAAATCTGTCCTCATTCTACTGCCGTTTGATATCAACATGTTAAAAGTTAAGAAGATACATGACATAATGAAACCTCAAATTAAAGGTTAACATCAAATACATTTTAGACCATACAAAAACATATATGAGACCAACACAAGTGCATTTTGTTAAAATGCCGCACGTCTTACATTATAAAAAGTAAAACTGTGCAGTTACCTTAAGGAGCTAAATCATGTTTTGACATAAATTAAAATGGAGCATTTGTGTTACAACCTGAACAACCTCCCTTTACTGTGTTACATTTAAAAACCCTTATATACATTGCAAGGGAACCTTGAAAGATATACAAAGAACATGCTATCATGAAAACGGCATTTTGTATACACAGCCCACAGTTCCAGTCTTTACCGGCATCGTCTCTTCAACACGTCCTTACAATATCTAAACACCGTGTCTGAATTAAACCTTGTTCACAGGGAGAAATGCGCCTTATGTGGAGAATTTCCACGGACTTCTGACAGCGGAAGGTCGATTCCTCCTTGTGACATTGCACAGCGATTATCTGTGCTGCAACATCCGGTAAAGCAAGCAAGAAATGATCTAAAGCACACTTTAAACTCGAAAGAAAGGTGTCGTTTCCTTTTGCGCGCAACGAAACATTGGAGCACCATCGCCACATAATTTCTCCCATGTGGAAATCTCTACGAATATACCATCTATAGCGTACTCATTGACAGCTACATGTATGTTTACGAACTGTAATTCAACGTCCAGTAAAATCAACGATAAAAAAAACAAAAAACAGAATGAATCAACAGCACACTTTAACACTCAAAAGAAAGTTACCGCTTCGTTCGATGACTCGGTGACCCGCCGGCTTTCCACATTCTCTCCCCACGATTTTTACCAGTCATGATGCATGTTTACAGAGACCAAAGAATTTGCTCAGACGCAACGCAAAAGCAGTGATGTCTTCTTAAGGCAGCAGCATGTATGTTTAGCGCTGTCCTCTTCTCCGGCTTGGCTCCGAATTCCATCTCTCCGCGCGCGCGCGCGTTCGCGCTCCTCTGGAACGAGCGAACAGGCCAGCGAGGGCGCGCGCGCGCGGGGGTGTCCCTCCTCCGCAGTTTGGAGTTTGTGATGTGTCTCAGACTCCGCGAGCGCCGCGCGAGAGCGAGACCTGCGGAGCGAACGCGCCGTATCCTGAAGCGACCGTTACCCTCCAACAGGCGACCTGCCTTTCTCCTTCCTGATTTCCCCCGTATTCCCTCACAGTGGTCCTCGCACTAGCGCTTTCTTTCAGCGCCGGCGCACTTTTTGGTTTATCACAGGTGCATTTGCGATCCTTTGACGTACTTTTCTCACTCACTGGGAATTTGCAGACATCTGAGGGTCGTGTGGATGCGCGGCTTTGGTGAGAAGCGGAGATGGAATTGTTGATATTATGCCTTTCTTTTGGGATATTGCAATGCAGTTCGGTGGGAGCCGACTCCATCATTCACATCGGTAAGGAGTGAGCTGTTCAAAGCCTTTATTTGTTGCAAATGATAATGAATGCGACATCCAGAATGAGGACTCTAAGTGAAGTGCGTTGTAGGGGTCGGCGTGAAATATCCACTGTAAATAAGCATTGGAAATGTGCCCTGCTCATCGGGCTGAATATCATTTGAGCAGACCACTTGTGACGATAACGTCTCTCTTGTTCAGATTGCCGATAGATCCATTGCACTGACAGATGCATGGACAAGACTAATCTAATTCCAGTCTTAGCAGGTTGTTCACCAGGAACGCTTAATTGTGTAAATCCTAGATTTCAGGCAAGTTGGAAAAACAGGAGGCGTCTGTCATAAGGCAGAGTAAGCCAATGTGTGTGGGTTGCTCTCCCCCTCCCATCTATAAGATTGAACTTTGTATGGAACGTGAGGGAAATGTTAATAAAGGATGCTGAAGTAAATAAATGACAAGAGGACAAATGCTTATTCTTGGCTATCCCAGGCTGTAAATGTCATCTTAACCAATCCCCTTTGCGTGCGCTGGACACCCTGTGCATTCTGATTATCTCACCAAATGTGAGGAAAGAAAGATTTTGGCTCTCCAACAGCAGCAAAGAGGAGGAAGAGGGGCTGCCGGGGAGGGCGGCTGTAGCTCTATTCAGTTGTCATGAAGAAGTCAGATCCAAACACTCATTTATCGTATCGAGTCAGCTGTTGGCTCATTGGAAAGAAGATTTATTGGAATCTGTGAAAAAAAGCCACCATATTTGTCGTTGGAGATTCTGAAGTAGTTTTGTTCTATTTATTCTATTTGGCTTTCAACAAAACTACTTGTCATTCTAACCTTTTATATCAAAAACACATCGTTTTGTGTGACCAAAACTGACCAAGTGGAGTCGGTTGTCATATATTTACCCCCAACTAGCTTTAACAAATCAGATTTTGGCTTGTTTTATGCAATCTATGTCTTAGGTAATTTGCTGCCCAGTATATTTGACCAAGACCTTGGGGATGATTCAAGAAAGCAGTTTTAGATATATCAGGCATTCACACATTTAAATCACATGCATTGAATGCATTTGACGTGTTCTGAACTGTGGTGGATGCAATATGCAGAGTGAAATGATGCTATATCCCTATGCACACAGAAATACATCTACAGGTTGTTCTCAGATAATTCAGTTTACCTACCAGTTGCATGCGTCTAGGTCAGAAAATCCACTTCCATCACCACCTTTAAAAATGAGGTCTTACAACATTTTCATCCAGCTCTTACCTTTAAGTGCACACGAGGGCGTATCTGTGGCTGTGTAATAGGCAGGACTCAAAGGTGCACAGCGCAGGTGAAATAACAAATTCAAGCCTCTCCAGTGCCCAATACTTCCACTTTGTCACATCCGCTCACGTTATCATCCTGACCAAATTCGGCTCCGAAGGGCAAAAGAAAAATAGGGCTGTCCATTGAATGGAGAGGGTGACATGAAGTGATTTTCAGGGTGGCATGGTGATTTACAGAGGCAATGGCCATCCAAAACTGGTAATTGGAAGGCTAGTACAGGCAGTGTGGATCAGGGCTGCTCTCACTGGCAACTGGAATGAACAGATGCGACACCCCTATTTCTGCTAAATAAGATGAACACTGCAGTGATACATCAACCAGATTCTACCTGTCTACCTGCCCACCTTATTGGGCTCCTCTAACACAGGTAGAGATGGGTACATTTTGGCCAAACATAAATGAGGCCTCTCAATCTCTCTAAAATTGATTTTAGATATCATGCTTAAACTTAAATACGTTAAGCTGCCATAATATGAATTAATCTACATACAACTTGTTGCACAACTTTATTGTAGGTTGCTTTGATTAGCACCTGCTTGGAAAGTAAATGCTTAACAGTAAGGATTTTTATTCCCTCTTTATATTAGCTGTCTTTAACTACTACTGTATGCAATTACCTTTGTTTTGGCATACTTATTGTGTTCATGTTGTATTACAAAACAGGTGTAGATGTAATTACTAGTAATACATTAATAATGGACGTAATTACATGCATGCATTTTTCATATTTAATATCACTACAACATAAAAACATGTATGTACACAATAAGTGTATTGGCTCAAATGATTAATTTAGATGTTAGTACATGGTTAAATACATTTACAATAAAGTGGGGTCCAGATTGGCTAAGTGGTAAACACTTGCAAGAGACTGGATCAAAAAAAAAAACCTTTTGACTTAAATTACACAAGTCGATTTAAATATGACCATATTTTGGTTAAAAAAAATAAACTCACTATGCTAGACAGTTGTAACATTACCTGACATAATCAGAAGAATTCACCACCAATCCTTTATTGTTGAGACCTGAAATTAAACAAATGCAACTTTTTTGACCCTTCTGTTATTTGTTCATCATTATTCTCAAATTAAAATATTTCTCATTGCTTATCATTTTATGAAACAAAAGGTGATGAGTAAAATATCAGGGGTCTTTTTATCTTATTTGTTTCTAGTGAAGCAAACAACAATCTTGTTTTAGCCCTGAGCTCTCTGTAGGATGGGTTTCCTTAGCTCAACTGGTAGAGCATAGCGATAGAAATGTCAAGGTCATGTGTTCAATCTGAGAGAACATACACACTGATAAAAAAAAAAAATAATAATAAGTACCTTGACTGCACTTTTAAGTGGCTTTGGATAAAAGCATCTGCCAAATGGATAAATGTAAATGTTTCTAAAATAATAGCCCTTTGAGCAAGATGAGCCAAGCAAGTCAGTTGCCCTCTGTATGCAAATTAGCAATTGCTTCTGTTTCTTTGTACGCTTCACTAAGACCCTATAGATAACTATCTATACATGCCCGCAGGTGCCATTTTTGAGGAGAATGCAGCACGGGATGATGAGGTGTTTCAGTTGGCGATCTCTGACCTCAGCCTCAACGATGACATTTTGCAGAGCGAGAAAATCACCCACTCCATAAAATATATCGAACCCAACAACCCCTTTCAGGCAGTCCAGGAAGGTGAGTGAATCATCGTGTTATGTCTCTTCACTCTCGAACTGCATCATTCCCTGACGTCTGTGTGTAAATGCTAAAAAAATGTACATGCAAATTGTTGTCTGGCAGTTTGAGTAACCCTCCAACAAGACATCACCGAGTCGAAATGACACACATCGCCAGGGTTTCTGCTTTTGTTCAGAGCATGCTTACGGCAAGCCAAGATGTCTTGAAAATGTATGTGTGTTTGTTTAATGCCAGCATGAAAGGTGACGTTTGGTTTCAAAGACATCCACCTGAAGCTTCCCCACAGTCTAGTGTCTTCTGTGAAAGAAGAGCTAGGTGGAGGTATTGAGTCAGGCTGGACTCAATAACAATTGAGACAATAATTGCAGTTGAGGATGAGTGCTCTGAAGCCTGAGCTTTCCGAAAGATCTTCAAAGATTTTGAAAAGCAAGGAAAAAGAGAATGTCTTCTTCTGAATGGGCTAATGGCAGTTAATGATGCCGGGATTGACGACGAAGACGATGGTGATGATGATGGCAATGATTATTTCTGTTAGAAAATATCCTCCATCACAATATGTGATGTGATGTAAACTGTGATTCGTTTTGGAAATATATCACTGTGATCAATCTAAGTGAGCTATTGACACTGGTATAGTGCGATCTTTGCTAAGGTTTTATTTGTCATTCTTCTTCCTCTGCTATTACTTGGACCTTTATCAACTAGTCCACAATCATCAAGTACTCACTGTTTTGTCAAGTCTATGTGCAGTTTTCCACAGTTCTTTGCTTTCGGTGTATTAGGTGTCTTTCAGGTTGGTTTGGTGAGGTGTTTTATTTCCCACATGTCAACCTGAGGAATAACACGAGCACGCATTGAGAACATCCTTATTCTGACAATGCCGTATGACGTTGCAAATGGCACAGGGGAACTTAACCTTTTTTAATATAGCTGGTGTTAACATCTAGAATGAAACTCATTGTATGTTGATTTGTTTCGCACACCAGAGATAAACCTTCATAGCGTCTCACGGGTGCTTGAAATGTTCAGGGAAGGTTCGGCTTTATTTATTTGGAGTTACCACTCAAATGCTCCACATTTTTTGCCACTGGACCTCTGGTTTTGCGATCATCTGGCAATATCCGGATATGTGTGATCTTCTGCATGAATGTGTTGTCATGGTGGTGTGGTTGAAATGCAGGGCAGTGTGTAAGTACCTAAGCACAGTGATACTGTGCTCTCTTGACTGAATGCCCTGTTGATTTTGGCTCTGTGAATAGATTCCAGGCCATTCAAGACAGCCAATGGAGTTCTTTTTAGTGGTCACAGTTGCCATCTCAAAATGGTAACAGTAGCCCACATTGTGTGCTGGAGGAAAGCATTGGGGCTCCTTTTATTAAGCAGCAGAGCGACTTTTTCATTCTGTGGTGTTAAAGGGTGACTCTTACGAAATCTGTCAAGCATGTGTCTGGGTCACCAAACTAGCAGAAAGAAATATCACCACAGTGCAAAAACTCCTATAACATACAAAATATAATTTTGTTCATATGCGTTTATATGCAATACTGGAAAGAAATTAAAGCTTTCATTCAGCAAGGACACATTCAATTGTTCAAATGTGTGTTGCAAAAGATTTTAAATAAATGAATTAATTCTCAAATAAATAATTATTTTTCAAATAAATGCTGATGTAATGTAAATAATGCAAATACATTTCTATTCAAAAAGTTTTTTTTTTTTTCTGTTACACACACACACACACACACACACACACACACACACACACACACACACACACAAAAACACACACACACACAGAAACAAATGATATTTTGAAGAATGTTGGTAATCAAACATTTGCTGGTAGCCCTTGACTTCCACAGTATTTTTTCCATACTATGGAAGGCAAAAGCTACAAGCAACTGTTTGGTTACAAACTTTCTTCAAAATATGTGACCCTGGACCACAAAACCAGTCTTAAGTCGCTGGGGTATATTTGTAGCAATAGCCAAAAATACATTGTATGGGTCAAAATTACCGATTTTTCTTTTATGCCAAAAATCATTAGGATATTAAGTAAAGAGTATGTCCCATGAAGATATTTTGTAAATTTCCTACCGTAAATATATCAAAACTTCAGTTTTGACTAGTAATATGCATTTCTAAGGACTTCATTTGGACAACTTTAAAGGCGATTTTCTCAATATTTTGATTTTTTTGCATCCTCAGATTCCAGATATTCAAATAGTTGTATCTTGGCCAAATATTGTCCTATCCTAACAAACCATACATCAATGGAAAGCTTATTTATTCAGCTTTCAGATGTATATGTATGTTTAAATCTCAATTTCAAAAAATTGACACTTAAGACTGGTTTTGTGGTCCAGGGTCACATATCTTCTTTTGTGTAAAAAAAAACAAAAAACATGCATATACTCAGCATTGGTAGTAATGGTGATCTTCATTAGACTCTCAAACATTACTGTAATACAAGTTCTCATATAAATCATCTTAAAGGCAATACAACACATATTACCATGATAACCACTGTAACACATATTAACATATATTACCATTTCTGTAGCATTTGGGATGAAATATGATACAGACATGCTTTCCTGAGATCCAATTTACTCGTTTTTAACTCGAGAAAGTAACATTATTGAATTTTCACTCCTCAAGATTTTACTTTCTGTGTGCACACAATACAGAATATTGTGATCAGAATCAGAATCAGAATCAGAAAGAGCTTTATTGCCAAGTATGTTTGCACATACAAGGAATTTGTTATAGTGTCACAAGCTTCCAGTACACGGAGACAACAACAACACACAGATAATAAAAATGAGATGTGAATAAAATACACATGCATAAATATAAACCACAAAAAAAAAAAGAATAAATTGTATGTACAGGTGTGCTATAGATGGAATAGGAATAGAACTGTCTGGGCCTGGTGCTTGTCACACTGCCTTGGCCTGATGTAGTCAAATAACCTGTTAGAGAATCATCTGCTGGTATGACTATGAGCTTCACATCAATAATACAAAAATTCCTGTGAATTGTTCATTATATTGCTGCCTATTGCCTGATTCTATTGCCTGAAGTTGATCTTAGATTAATACTTTAACCCTTTTTGAATTTGTATTACTTGCTGCATGTTTCTTTATAATTGACAAATGTGTTATACTTCCATGCTGTATCCTCAGGCTCTCATTTTATACTCAGCACCAAGTGTAAAACCTACTACAGAAACAAATGGAGATGGTGTAATGAAACCCACTAGATGAATCCCACAAGGTTTTTCATGGTGTCGGGATGTCAATAAAGATTTGGAGCTTTACCTAAACTGCCTGCTCTCACAAAACAGTGTGAAATGCCCCAAACCTCTCCAAGCTCCCTAAATGCAGTGGGACCTTTTATTTATTATAGCATAGCTGCTGTTTTCATAGTCTTTCTTTCTTTGTTAGTTAACTGTGTAATAGCACTCCAATTGCTTTATTATTGGAAAAGCAATAGCGTGGAATTATATCTTCTTCATGTCTTCTGATTTGTGTCACAACTGCATCTAAATATGGTTGTGGCTAAGTGCTTAAAGGAATAGTTTAACCAAAAATTAAATTTTACTGAAAAGATTCTCATCCTCAGGCTATCCAAGATGTAAATGAGTTTGTTTCTTCATAGGAATGCATTTGGAGAAATTTAGCGTTACATCACTTGCTCACCAATGGATCTTCTGCAATGAATAGGTGCCGTCAGAATGAGAGTCCAAACAGCTGATTCAAGTACAACTCCAGTCCATCAATTAATGTCTTATAAAGCAAAAACCTGCATGTTTTCAAATCTATCATTATGATGTTTTTAACTTTAAACCATTGCTTCTGCTTCAAATACAATTCCTCTATCCATAATATTGCTTTTTTTCCAGTGAAAAAGTTCTCTAATCTAAATCAAAATAGAAAAATGCACAACTCAAGCACAATTTACAAGTGAAAACAGTCCAAAATGTTCTGAACAAATTTGCCAGTGGATTTTGATGTGCGAGGATAACGGGATGGACTTTTTATGAAAGAAGTGTGGATGGATTATGGATTATGCAGTTTTTGGCCAGAAGAATGTCTTAATGATGGCTTTGTTTCTTACAAATAAGCAGCTTTTCACTTTCACAAGACTAATTGATGAGTTAATTGATTGACTGGAGCTGTGTGGATTACTTGTGGATTATTGTGGTTTTTATCAGCTGTTTGGACTCTCATTCTGACAGCACCCATTCACTGCAGAGGATCCATTGGTGAACAAGTGATGCAATGCTACATTTCTCCAAATCTGTTCTGATGGAGAAACCAACTTATCTACATCTCAGATGGCCTGAGACTGAGTACTTTTTCTGCAAATTTTCATTTTTGGGGGGTGAACTGTCCTTTTAATGTCATACTTTCACACATTTGATTGCTTCCTGGAGTGACTTACAGACAATTCAGTTGAAATAATCCATGTACTGTGTACATAATCAAATTATCCAACTAGGTGTTAAAGGCATAATTAAAAGCAGACCAGACAGCTCTATCTCTATTTGTCTGGTCCGGTGAAAGTAAGTCATATGGAAAGAGGTACGTGTCTTTAATCATTCACAAATTGTAATAGTGTCTCTCTCTTCCACTGTTGCTTCCACCAGCCTTAAGGTCTAAGGGAAACCCTTATAACACAAACAGCCAACATCAAATGGTTTAAGCTGTCGGCAACCATGTTTCTAGCTTGAAGCCATGAATTAAGAGTTGCTATGGTTTTTAAGGAAATGACTCCCACATTTATGTGCAGCTACCACTCACAAAACTGCACTTTTTTTATGTCATATGATTATTAGAGGGCTAGTTTATTGCTTCTCAAGCTTGGACTTCTTTCTTGGCCATCTTTTTTTTTCTTTATACAAATTTACTTGAAGGCGGTTATTCTGAGACTGAGGTGCCCCTTTAATTCCTGCTACCAGCACAAATACAGTGGTGTGAAAAAGTGTTGGC